CGGCCGTCAATTTGGTGGTGGAACGTGGGCTATTCATCGAGTATCATCTCGAGCCGCCGGCCAATGCCAATCGTAACTCCAGCTTCAATGTGACCGTCAAATACGGCAGCGGCTGCGGTGGCCGCTTGACCTACCCCTATCGCATTATCGACTTCAGCGAGCAGTACAAGAACAATGTGGAGTGCATCTGGGAGATCGAGGCCGATCCGGGCTTCCATATAGCGCTCTCGTTCCTGGGACGCTTCTACATCGAGGACAGCGCCAGGTGCGCCAAGGACTATTTGCGCGTCCAGGAGCGCAACAACAGCCAGTCATCCTCCACTGGCAACTGGACGGATTTGGCCAACCTATGCGGTCGCGATCCGCCCAAGATCATTGAGTCGACGGGCCCAGCGATGCGGCTAATCTTCCGCTCCGATGGCGACATAACGGGCGATGGCTTCAGTGCCCTATTTGAGCGCATCTGCGGCGGCGAGCTCCTCGCTGTCAGCGAGCCGAAGGAGATCATCAGCCCCGGCTACCCGAAGGGCTACGCCAAGAATCTCTATTGCAACTACACAATCAAGCCACGCGACTCGAGCGCAGTCGGGGTGCTGGTGCGCCTGGTTGACTTCGACCTGGAGCGCTCGCCAATGAGTGTTTGCATGTTCGACAATGTGACGGTGACGACGCGCGACGCTGTCGATCGGCAGCAGGAGGTGGTCATCTGCGGGCACAAGAATCAGTATGCGTATCGGGCGGCGAAGTCCATCAGCTTCGTGTTTCGTTCGGACAGCTCGTTCAGCGGGCGCGGCTTCAAGCTGGAGTACTCGACGAATCTGTGCGGCGGCGTTGTAAGCTCAACGCAAGTGGTGGAGTCGGTGCGGCAGCATGAGGACAACATGATGCCGCACAACAGCGACTGCTACTGGAATCTGACGGCGCCGGAGGGCCACAAGTTCACCATCAAGTTCGAGCTGCTCGACTTTGAGGACGGCAATCAGCTGTGCAGCTACGATGGCGTCGAGGTCTTCTCCAGCCCCGTGCCGGACGAGAAGCGGCGCATGGCGCGCTTCTGCGGACGCCTGACCGACCATCTGCCCACCCTGCATATACCCAGCAGCCGGGCGCTCATACACGGCTACTCCGATGATCGGGATCCCTCGGTCGGGTTCCGGGCGCTGGTGCGCGTCATGCCCAACTGTGATGAGAGCATCTATCTGGGCGTGAGCAATGCGAGCTACACGTTCAACAAGTTTGTCGGCTCCTATGCAAACGATCTGGACTGCAGCTTTAAGTTCCGGGCGGATTCCGGCTTTCAGATCAGCGTCGAGTTCCGCAGCTTTCACGTGGAGGAGACGAAAGACTGTTCCGGTGACTTTTTGGAGTTGCGCGATGGCGCCGGACCGTTCGCCGATGAGATCGGCAGATTCTGTGGCCAGAACCTGCCACCGACGCTAATCTCATCGCGGCACGTGCTCTTCATGCGCTTCGTCACCGACTCAAAGGTGACGGACACCGGCTTTGAGGTGATTGTCACGGCCAAGCCGCTGCAGTGCGGCAGCTCGCTGATTAAGCTCGATGGCAAGCAGCCCTACGAGCTGCGATCTCCGGTCAACGATCAGGGCAACTACGACAACAACGTCTTCTGCCTGTGGAAGATCGAGAGCGAGATATCGCTGCATCTCAAGTTCGTCAGTCTCGATCTGGAGGCGCCCAATGCGACGGGCAGCTGCGACGCGGACTTTATCAAAATCTACAGCACGGAGGTAAGCAAGAGTAACTACTAGAGCCATGTATGGATGGAAACGAAATCTGAAATCCATTTGATACCTTCTTAAGTATTTTGCTAAAGACAGACAGTCTAGAGCTCCTCTTAAAGGATATAGATAGCGGTGTAGTCAAGTTTACAATGGGAAAAGTTTTTTTTTTGGTAATTTTCCATCCATCATACATATCCAAATCTTATCGATCGATCTCTCTACTAAGCCTTATTAAATTTATGTATATACCCTAAGATTTCATAATAGGAATTGAAGTAATTACCTCTACCTCAATTCCAAACAGGATGCGCAAATTGTGGAGCAGGGCTATGGCGATATGGTGATCTTCCATGGACGAAAATCGTCCCGTTTGTATAACGAATATGCCTTGGAGCACGTATATTGCGGCAATGGCTTGCCGGATGATTACTATCCGAATTCCAAGCAAGTGTACGTAAAGTTCCGTAGCAATGGGGCCGTTACCCGGTCCGGCTTTCACATTCGCATTGTGCCGGACACGACCTGCAAATTCAGCTACGGCGGCCTGCAGGGCCGTGTCAAGATATCGGAGAACCTGGACTGCGATGCCGAAATCCTGGCACCGGCTAATTACACACTTAGCCTTTACTACGCCGAGGTGGTCTTCGGCTCGTCCGACTGCGATGTGGAGAATATCGAAATCTTTGACAAGGCCAGCAACAAGTCGCTGCAGCGCGTGTGCTCCTACACGAACCCAGGCAAGAGCCTGTTCACGTCGACAAATGAGCTGCGGATACACTTCAAGACGGGCAGCTACTTCAACAGCTTCGACCTGACATACATTGCGTCCCCTGTCGCCGACGGACCCGGCTGCGGTGGCCAGCTGTACAACACCGAGGGCATCTTCGCCAATCCCTTCTATCCGCAGAATGTGCGCAATAACTCCGACTGCCGCTGGAGTGTTCGGGTGCCGAGCAACACGCGAGTCCTGCTCACCTTTGAATGTAAGTCAATTCGTCTATCACAACTCCTGGTATATTATGGGTAACACATCCATTTACGCTTGTAGTTTTCAACCTTGGCTCGAGGGCCACCTGCCACACGGACTACCTTGTGATCCAGGAGCAGAACGAGCGCAACGAACTGCAGGAGATGCGACGCTTCTGCGGCGATGACCAGCCCCACGTCTACCTGAGCAAGCGCAGCCAGCTCTTTGTCCGCTTCCACAAGTCGGTCAACTACGACGGCATCGGCTGGGTGATCAAATTCTCGGGCGTCCACGAGAATTACGAGGTACCCAGCTATCTGCTCGAGTAGAGGATATATAATTCCATACGGAAACCAATTACAATTATACACACGTACATATATCCAATAACATTTCACCAACTTATTTTGTTTTTAAAATTTTATTGAATACATTTTAAATTAGTTATCTATAAAATAATTACTATGTATAATATATAATAATAGAAATTTCATCTTTGCTTTGTTTTTTTTTTTTTGTTTTTGTTTTTGTTTCTTTCATCTTCTTTTATCTAAACACACACAAAAAAAAAAATGAAATTAAAAAATATTGCTATAAAATAAAACGCACAGTTCACAAAAATCGTTTCTTTCTCTTGCATTAATTCTCAGTATTTTCTTCCATTTGTCGCTGTGCTCTTTGCATTTATTTAACTATCAATATACAGTAAACGAAGCAGATGAAGAAGACGGAGGGAAATAAGAAATTATCGTTTAATCGTAATCAAAATTAAGAAAGGGGCGCTCAGTTACTCGCCAACATTATAAATTATTTATTCAGTTTAACAATCAACTGACCATTCACAAAGACTTTGCCTAATAAATACAATGCTCGACTTTATGCAAAGTGAAATTAAAAAAAAAAAAAAAAAAAAAGATTAATCATAGAAATTTTCGCCTATAATATTATTGTATGTACAAAGAAGAAAAAACCGATTGGGTTCAAAGTTTGCAACTAAAAACACGATAAATATCATATCATATCAAGAGAAAAAAAAAAAAACACTGCAGAGAAGCGATAGGTGGGAGCGAGAGAGGGGGTAGCAAAATCATTGAAACCGATAGAAAATCAAAACTTAATTTTAAATACATCCTAATCATATATAAAGAACAAATTTGCATAAGTATGTTTCTTTGTTTTGTTTTGGGGGCATACGCCCGACGACATTTATGTAATGAACACGCACATAGATAACAATTCGAATCGATTCGCATCTCTTCTGCCTTACTTTTTAGCTGATAACATGTATGTATGTATGTATAATGTATATTTTATGTATATGCATAACTCTTGAACAATCAATACATCAATTTTATTTAGATTTCTTATTTTTCTTTTCTACTACCAAATGCGAACAACTCCAATTGTAACTCCAAACTCCAACTCCAACTACATATTCATATATTCAATGCAAAACTCTGTTTAATGTATACATTTGGTTACAATGTAATATGTATATGTACGTATGTATGTATGCAATATGCTGAACTATGTAACAAACAATTGCCAAATGGCGCTCAACATTGTATATATGTATGTATGTATGTAAGGTTAAACAGACATTTAGATAATTCTCATTTTCATTTTCATTTTCATTTTCATTTTCTCTTTTGTTTCATATCATTTATGCTATGCAGACGTTTCCAGAATTGACAGAATTGAATTGGTTGAAACATGCTAAACGTGGCCTAACGATCTTAACACACACGCACATGCACATGCACACATACACTCACACTCACACTCGCACTCTCACACACGCACAACACAACGATTGATATGTCTCAAATTAATTTTATTTTCCTTTTATATATATATAGATGTATACATATTTTTTTTGTTTGCAATTTGGCCAATACGTTGCAACCTTTATCCTATCTCCCTCTCGCTCTGACTGCTCTGATTTGCTATCCACCTCTCTTTCTCTATCGCCGTCTCGCTCCGCACTCATCTGCGCCCCACTGCGACGGCCACTCATCTTACGAATTACTCGATATATTCATCTACACATACGCATGTGAACTTAACTATCTAGATCATTATATATATGTTTGTATATATATATATATATATGTATGTATGTATGTATATATTATTATTATTATCATTATGTAGATTTTTAATTATATACTTCCAGATCAACTTAACAATATTTTGGGGGGAAATCGGCTGGGTTAGTGGAGAAGGGGGCGGGGACATGGTGAGTTGAGTGTATGCGTGTCTAGGTGTGTATGTGTGTGTGTGTGTGTGTGTGTGTAGCTTATTCTTCTTTTATTTAGATCAACTAGAGGCTAATAACATTAACTAAGAAACTCAAAATCAAACAAAACTTCCCGCAACACACGCGTAGACGTCGACAATTTTGGCAATTGGCTGGCAACTGCTCGCTTGGCTCCCTGAACTTATCCTGGCGCCCGGTCCGTTTGCTGTTTGATCCTGTCGGATGCGGGCACGCTAGGGCAGCTAGGGCGCCGACCACGCCTACACGTTCAGGCACTGCTACATGCAGCAAAGGAAGCGGTGAAAGAAACTTTTGGCATTGCGGCGCACACGTTCGGCCCTTAGCTAACAGATGATGCCCTGGTCCAAGCTCAGGTTGTTGGTGGCGGCGGCGGCGGCATTCTTGGCGGCCATCACATGATGATGATGATGATGACGGTGATGGTGCATACGATGATGATGCAAATGATGTGCCGCTGCCGTCGCTGTCGTTGGCATTCGTCCATTCAGCAGCAGCGCCGAGCTGCTGCCACCTGCGCTGCCGCCACTGCTGCTGCTGCTGCCACTGGGATTGTTACTGCTGCTGCTGCTGCTGCTGCTGCTGTTGGTATTACTGTTGCTGTTGGAAATTGAGTTGGGGCTGCTGCAGCTGCTGCTGCTGCTGTGTTGCTTCTTGTGCACAGCGGTTAGTGGCTCTGAGGCACGTCGCACATTGTTGCAACTGTTGCTGTTGTTGCTGCTGCTGCTGCCGCTAACACTGCGACGCATATTGCTGCTGTTGCTGTTGCTGGTCGGTGGCATCGCAATGCTGGGCACTGAGCACTTGCGTGGCTGCTGCAGCTGCAGCTGCGTCACTGTGGACGCCAGATTGCCATTGGAGCTGCTGCTGTTGCTGTGCGCCTCGAGCTCGTCCAGCTGAAACTTCTTGACCAGGGCCTTGACCGAGGTCGCTGAGCTGGCCTCCGTGGCGGGTGTCTTGCGTATGACTTTGGGCGTGGTCGGCGCATCCGGGAACAGCGCCAGCGTGGCAATCACTGTCGTCTCCTCCAGCCCATTGCTGCCGATCTGTATGGTGGCCGTGCTGGCCATCGGCTTCTTCACAAACGTCGCCGTGTACGTGTTCTCCTTGTCCGAGTCCGAGGCGCGTCGCGTCGGTGTCACAATCTGTGTGGGCTTCGTTGCGTTTGTTGTCGCCAGCGACAAGGTCAGCGCCTGGGGCAGTGTGTGTATGGCCGTTGTGGTCTCTGTGCTGGGGCTCAGCTTGTGGCTGGTGGCGATTGGTATCTTCGAGCTGGCGTGTGCTCTGTGCCCATTGTGCGTGCCCTTGTTGCTTCCTGTGGCAGCGCCAGCTGTTGTTGCTGCCGTTGCTGCTGCTGCTGTTGCTGCTGTTGTGCCGTTTTGTTGCTGCTGTTGCTGTTGCTGCTGCTGTTGCTGTGAAACATTTTCCACGGCTTCATCATCTTCCTCCTCCTCGTCCTCATCATCATCGTCCTCATCCTCGTCCTCGTCATCCTGCACAAAGTCGGCATCGTGCTGTGCCTGCAAGTAGATTTGCCTATTCAAGGAGCATTCGTCCTTTAGCCAGACGTGCTCCAGGCAGCCAGCGGCATTCATGCGATCGCTACAAAGAGACAGAGAGAGAGAGAGAGCGAGGGAGAGAGGGGGAGAGAGTTAGTTAAGCACAGACCCATTTAACTCGATTCGTACTCACTTTGGCTTAATTCGCAATGCGCGACGTATGAAATCAATCGCCGCCTGGGAGACGCCGCCAAAGAGATTGTCGGGAAAGGTCAGGGCGCACTGTGAGATATTGAGGAAGGTCTCCTGCTTGGTATCGCCGCCAAAGGGCGAGAAGCCCGAGAGCAGCACGTAGGCCAACACGCCCACCGACCAGATGTCCGTCAGCAGCGACAGGGGCTCGTACTGCAGCACCTCCGGTGCCACGTAGTCCGGAGTGCCGGCCATCTCGCGCACATTGATGCCCTCGCAGACGACGCGCGAGATGCCGAAATCGCACAGCTTGAGGCCATCTGTGGGAGAGTCGAGCGTGTTAATCACAATCCAAACTGCAGACATTACCGGCAATTCGCCATGCGCCATTCCAACTCACCCTCAATACGCTCGCCAGTCAGCAGAATATTCTGCGGCTTCAGATCCAAGTGGGCTATGGAGCGATCATGCAAGAACTTGAGAGCCTTGAGCGTTTCGCGCATGCAATGGCGCGCCTGCGCCTCGCTGAGGCACTCCTCGTTGTCCAATATCGTTTGCAGCTCGCCGCCAGTGGCCCTGGAACGAGATTGAGGTGGATATATGTATATAAAGTAGATATTTGCAATATGTATAGTAACGGATTATGAATTGCTTACAATACTATCTATTGAAAATCCTATGAAATAGGATTATAGAGACTCTGCTCATTGCGTTGGTCCAGTAGTTGCAATACTCTGCATACAAACTGATATGAAAAAAAAAACCTCTTCTGGGTATAAAGACGTAAGATCGTTCTTCTCTTGGGTTCCTTTGTATATGTAATTATATTCAAGCATTCTAAGCTAATCTATGCAATATTGCTTCGCCCTGAATCCTACGCAATTCGAACTTCGAGCATTTGGCTACTGATTAACTTTGATTCCAGATACATGTACATCATAAGTACTACTTATATTATTATATTCTGCCTGTAGGACAAGTCCCTTCAAGTAGAGGTTGAACTTCGTATGAATTAAACAACTCGGCTTACAAATTTAACAATCTGAAGTCTTAGCAAACCATCTGGTTGAGGGTTCCAGTCAAGCATTGCCTGAAACCAATATACTCTTTCTTTAAACGATGCCTTGGCCATATTTGTGATCTTCGAGCATTTCTATTGCATGTGATTTACCCACTTGACTTTTCTAGAGTTTTCGAATTTAAACTAGCAAACCAACTGTGTTTGACAGATTCCATATTTGTTTCTCTTTATCTGCAATGTTCGTCTGTATTTCTGACTACTCTCTCCTCTCCGAATACCAAATGGACTATTGCAGCATTTAAGATTGTAACAATTAGTATGTCAATCCAAATTATTATTATTTTTGGGTTCCTCTAGTAGCTCAAATTAAATGATTTTCTATTTTTCATTTTTTAAATTTCAATTACTTTCTTTTATTTATTTATTTTGAAATTATTCTTACTTTTTACCTAATGAATGAAGTAAAAATAATAGCAATAGTTAAAAGAATTTTCATTTCATGATAACAAATTGACTTTATAGAGCTGTTGCTTCAATTGATTCAATCAATCAATCAGTTTAAGTTAGTTAATATGAACTCTGCTGTGACTCTAACATTCAGTAGTAGTAGTAGTAGTAGCAGTTGTAATAATAGTAATAGTATTAGTAGCAGTAGTAATATTGGAAGCAGCATTATAATAGTAGTATTAGTAGTAGTAGCAGTAATAATAGTAGTAGGAGCAGTAATAATAGTAGTAGTAAAAGTGGTAATAGAGTAGTTGTAGAAGTGGTAATAGTAGTAGTCGTAGAAGTAGTAATAGTAGTAGTATATTTAGTGGTAATATCAGTAGTATATGTAGTAGTAATAGTAGTACTATATGCAGCAGCAGTAGCAGCTGTAGTAGTAGTATAGGTAGTAGTATAGTAGTAATAGTAGTAGTAATAGTAGCAGCTGTAGTAGTAGTATAATTAGCAGTATAAGTAGTAGTATATATATAGCAGTATAAGTAGCATTATATATAGCAGTAGTAATAGTAGTAGCAGTATTGATAGTAGTAGCAGTGGTAATAGCAGTAGCTGTAGTAGTAGGATCAGTAGCAATAGGAGGAGCAGTAGCCCCCAAATGGCATTCGAGCTTCAGTCTTATTCTAACTTACTCTAAGTTAGTCTGTGTTTAGTTAGTCTCGGGATACTTACAGCTCCAGTAGCAGCGCCGTGTCGGAGCGCGTCTCGTGCACAGCGTTCAGGTTGACAATGTTGTCCTCGCCCTTGCAGAGCATCAGGACGGCGATCTCGTGCTTGATCTCCTTGTCGCTGCTTTGGGCGCGTCGGCGTCGCTTTAGGAATTTGGCAGCGAATTGCGAACCGGAATTCTTGTGTATCGCCCGACGAACTGCCGCAAATTTGCCCCTGCAATGGAACGAGAGAAACGAGAACGGATTAGTTTCAGATTTTTTTTCTTTTTCTTTTATTTTTATTTTTTCCCCATTTAGATTTTGGCCAGCAAACCGGATCAGCTGCAATCAGCGGCCCACATGCGCCCATAGTTTCATTCATAAAGACTGCCCAATTGTTGGCCAACAGCAACAGCAACTGCAACAACAACAACCATGAGACATCCCAACGTGAGTCAACCACTCAGCCAAGCCAACGCTGGATGCGAGGCAAGCTTGGCCGGCCGGCCACGAGGCGGCTCTGACGACGTCTGACAAAGTCGCGTCAACGCAACGCCTTTGACAAAGTACGTGCCATAATGAAGCAATTGCGCTTCCGGTAAATACTAACAACAACAACAGCAACAGCAACAGCAGCAACAACAACAACAGCGACAAATCTGGCATACCAAATAAGTCAGTCAGCCCCAGCTCCAGCTACAGCTCCAGCTCCAGCTGCTGTTGCAGTTGCATCACGCAACCGTCAATCCACTCCAACTAGACTTGAGCATCTGAAAATTCCAATAAGACCCGGCCACAACTTCACTACTTTCTCAAGTTCCTAAAATGCAAATTTTCCATTCGAAATGAAGCGCTTTGGCATAGCTCGGCTCTCCAATGGAATTGATAAGCCCCGCTGGAGGTAAGGGTATTGCCAGAGTGCTGCTGTCGTCGCCTTAACACGGACTGGTTTCTAATTGTTGCATGCAGCGCTCCATACAGAGAGAGAGACAGAGAGTGAGAGAGAGAGAGATAGAGAATGAGAAAGCGAGAGAGAGAGTCACATTGATAGTTGACTTTTGATGGCTGCTCTGTCTTCTCTCTGCTGTCTTCTACCTTCCCCTTTGCCCCTTCCCCCTGCTACCTTCTACCTTCCCCCTTCAGCCTGCTGCCTGCCACATTCACAAATTGTCAAATGTGTCGCCGTTTGAGGACAACGTGCAACGGTCATTAAAGTGAAATATATATTTCGTGCTTGCCACGCAACGCAGATGTGCATGCAACATAGGACATGCAACATGCAACATGGCACGGCCACAGGCCCAACTCCCCATCATCTCATTCAATTAGCGCCCGCAACATTTTGCATCTGCCTTTGGCAACATGTTGCCAAGGCCTTGTCAACATTGCCCCGCCTCTCGCAGGTGCATTCACAAGCCCCCCACTCCTTGCTGCCTTCTGCGTGCTTCCTCTTTCTCTCTCTCTCGCTGCACTGTTCCACCTAATTACAATATATTTCTGGCGGCTAATTGGGCAAGGTCTGTCGGACTGTGTTGCTGTTACGTAAGGCCCGAGTCACTGAAGATGTGGCGTGGGCGCACAACAGTTCTTAACAGCAACAGCAGCAGCAACAGCAACAACAACAACAACAGCAGCAGCAGCAGCCAGTGTCCAGCTGGCCAGTGAACTTTAAAGGTTAGTCTAGAAAACCTTGTCGCAGGGCGCAATCGGGCTAATGGGCTAGCCTAGATGTGTGTGCATGTGTGTGTGTTTATCTGCATGTGTGTGTATGTGTGAGAGTTCATGGTTGGTCATTGTCGTCGGCCACTCCCACGCGTGTTGCCCTTTTTTCTTTTTTGAATGCTTCATTAAATCTGGCCATAAGTTACAGTTGCACCGTGGAACGCATATAAGAAAATATTGCATAAATTTTGACAACAAATTTTCGTATCTCTTGCGCATAACTTTCTACTCCGAATATTTGTTTATTAATTTTTAGTGTTATTTATATATGTATATGTATATATATCTATATGTATATATATATCCCATCGAGTCGGTGATAATATTCTAATAATATTCTGTTATTTTTTGGACTATAGTTTATTAGATTTTTAATTTACCTAAGTCTGACTTTAGTTTTTGTCCATATAACATTCAGTAATTATATATATATATTGTATAAGTATTAAAGCCTCAAGATAAGCCCTTATATTGGTTGGTCTATCTATCGTTGTCAATTTGGTATCTTATGAAATTTTCTTTATAAAATTATATTAAAACAAAAAAAAAAAAAAAAAAAAAAAAAAAAAAAAAAAACAGAAGAAATGTTTGTTCTCATCGAAATAGTAGATCAGAAAAACATTAGAGAATTATAAAATATATACAAATATTTTTTCTAGTCGTAAAAAAGGACAGAAGTACACATATTAATAATTAATTGTTATTTTTATTTATTTTTTTTATTTATATATAAATGTAAATAAAATTTTTGTATTTTTGAAACATGACTTTTCATCGTGAAGAAGAAGGAAGAGAAGCATGGGCTTTCATGTAGTTAATTTCTTCTATCTCATAGATATATTTAGTATATACATATATTATAAATCATGCACTTCAGTTGACTTTATCATATATATACTTAGCATATATATAACACATATGTAGTAATTTTATTTTATTCATATTGTTAAATAAATGTAACTCTATTCACTATGCAATTTCAATCAAGTTTTCTCAGTTTAGTCTCTCAACTTTGTGCCCATATATTATGCAGTCGATTCCACAGTGCCGCGCGTGTGATTGCTGGGGCTTTTGGTCAAGTGTGAATTTGTATAACGAGCTGCTTCTAAAATGGTCAGCTTTGGCAGCGACAGCGATCGATCCGGGCGACATTCGCGATCAGAGATTTGCGAGCCATCAGCTCTAAATCGATCCATGTCTGTCTCTGTCTCTGTCTCTCTGTCGGTTTCTGCTTCTGTAGCTGTTGCTTTTTTTGTTTTTTTTGGCATTTAGTGGCTCTGGCAGGCACATACAAGGCATGGTTTGGCCCGATCTTAGTGACGCACAATTCGACAACTTCAAACGCCAAACCGAGATGACGACCAAATAAGGTGGCGTTTAAAACAGCGCACAAAACGCGCGGCGCGTGCACGTGTCATTGATTTTGTGGGCAATCGTTTGGAGGAGCAGGCAAAGGCAGGGCAGGGGAGGGAATGAATGGGTCGAGCTGGTCTCTTATCGATGGATAACCTGGGATGCCAAGAGAGCAGCGATCTTTGGACTCCCAAAAGTTTGTGCGAAGCTTCTGCAGGAATATTGAAATTTACCCAAGTCGTTGAGGTAGCAATGATGATCGCAAAAGAGGGAGAGAGAGAGAGAGAGAACGTAAGAGAGGGAGAGGAGAAAGAGAGAAAAATATATAAGTAGACTGAGAGTGAGGGATGTAGGAGAGGGAGAAACACAGAGAGGGAGGGAGAAGGAGATAGAGCGAGAAAGGAATAATAGATAAATAGAGGAAGAGTTTGAGAGGGAAAGACATGAGAGAGAGGACTATTAGTGAGTAAGAAAGGCAGTAAGAAAGGCAGTGACATCGAGAAAGAGAGAGAGAGAGAGAGAGAGATAGAACGAAGAGAGAGAGAGATAGAACGAAGATCTATCTCTCTCTCGATAGAGTGAACTATGTAGAAAGAGAGCAAGATAGATAGAAAGGACGATATATGGAGAGAAACATAAACAGATAAAAGGACGAATAGAGATCAGAGTAAGGGAAGAAAAAGGAATAGGCAAGTAGAGATATTTAGAAAGAGAGGGAGAGTATGAGAAGGAGAGCGAAACACAGATAGCATGCTTAAAATATTCAATTAAAAATTTGATTAACAGTAGTCTATCGATACATATCGATCGATTTTATAAGTAACATTAATCTTGCGCCTAGTGAAATTATAATAATTAAACTTGAGAGCATAATTTGGTGAGTCGATCCACACAAGTCCCATCAAATCTTTATAGCATTTCAAACATTTATCTTATTGAGTCCATGTATTGGCCTTTTCTAGAGTATTCCTAGCTCCCGCTTAGCGTTTACTATTTCAATTGAGCTCCAACTGCTTCCAGCTGACCCACAAATCTCAAGCTTTTATGTCATTCCCCTTGCTTTAGGACATTTTATTTGCAATTTGGATTGGGAAACGATTTCAGTTTGTGTTTTGATTTGAGCTCAGTTTTGGGCTTGGCTAAAACGACGCACACACACACACACACACACACGCACAGAAACCAAAAGCAATGATACGTTGGCACCCACCCAATCCCCACAACAATTGAGTAAAATTTGTATTGCAAATGAGCAAAAAATACAAAAACAAAAAAAAAAAATAAAATTTTTTTTCGAAAATTGAAATTGAAAAACAAAACAGAAAAATAGTTTGTTAACAAGGTGTAAATTGCTAGGCAGCGACAGCGGCGGCAGTAGCAAAAGGTTAGCCAGTTGCAGCTCCAATTGCCCAAAAGCGGCAGACGAAACGAGGTGAGACACAGCCGGAGCGAAGGTGAGAGACGGAGCGAGAGCGCAAGAGAGAGATGCAGCTGGCTGACTGTGAGTAGTGTGGGTGAAATGCATTTGCCTAGTTGCAAAGTGCACTCAGTAGCTATGCATGCACATCGCACCGCACCGCCCCCGCTCCGTTCTCTTGCTGCTGCTGCCTCTTCAGCTCGGGCAGCACTTCTGGCTAACAATAACATTTTGCAGGCTTTGACGCATTTGAACAAACAGCTGAAGAATCTTTTTGCCTTTGACAGACGACGATGACGATGACGACGTTGATGACAAGGATGCGGATGACGACAAAGTGCGGCTGAAGTGCTTGCTGCACGTTGCTGCCGCTGCTGCTGCTGCTGCTGCTGCTGCTGCTGCTTTTAGTGCAACCGGGTGCATTGAACCAAAGAATGCTCGCGAGTTGCCTCAACTCTCTCTCTCTGTGTGTGTGTGTGTGTGTGTGTGCAGTCGAGTAAAATCATCTGGCGACGCTGTCAGCCAAGCAAATAGTTGCCCTTTAGGTGACTAACTCAACATGGGCCACAGTCGCCGCCCGAAGACGCACAAGTGTCCTCCCCGTTGATGCCCGTTGAGCCCATTAATGTGACAATTAAATTGGCCAGTCACACAAATGACGCACATTGAACTCGATTCCCTTGAAGCACGAACTATGTGCAGCATTTGCAATCGCACGTCAAGCACTCCTCTGCCTCTGCTCGAACTTTAACTCTTGTCTAGAAACACATCTATGTACATACACATATCTATGTATATGTACGTGAATACTAACAAAGTTTTCTAGCATCTGTAATTTACAAGATATGTG